GACCATAAAACTGACGAGCCATGTAGCTGTCATGGGAAATTGTATTGGCAGTTGTTTCCAGCTTTTGTGATTGACACTTCGATTCTATCCACTCGTGTCAACTGTCAAATGATAGGCATTTTCGCTTTTGAATTATCGTGATATTTTTCATTTTCTTGATAAAATTAAAACCTCACTTTCAATTTGCTGGCTGCCACGCGTGAGTTGATTATAAATCACACAGCTGACAGCTCCCTCTAAAAATATCAAGACAAATAAAATAAAGGGTAAATTAAAGAGACCTCATTGAGGTATGATTTTAGAGATATGTCTCACTTTTAAAAATTACACTAATTTCATTTTATTTCAAGAATACCTCTTTCATTTTCAACCATTACACAAACATCCATTCTTTCAAATTTTATTTAAATAATGCATATTTTAGATATACCTCATTTCTTTTTTTAAAAATGACATAAACCTCCGTATCATTTTTTGAATAATGCATACTTCCTTTAATAACTTTTGGTAGTTTAAAACATATTTATAAACCCAATAGATCGTTGTGATAACTCTGCAACGATTGCACATTAAATTGACTAATGTAACGGATATGCAACTACAACACTTAGATCATAACATTTCTATCTAAATCCAAGTTATGGAAACCATAGGCCTCTATGGCTATGAATTGACATGATCATGCTTGGCAAATAAGACATTAGGGTGAAGTCACGTGTCAAACGTTTACGTGATCTCTATCGCCAATAAATACTTGGCTTTCTGTCTATTCAAAGGTAGTCCAATTTTTGGCAAGTCTACTTCTGTAATTCCACAAGTGTAAACTAAACTTGAATTCATATTTTCGTCCATTGAATCTCTCTTATACATAAAAATATTCTCCTTCTTCTGAATTGAAGTCAGAGTGCACCCGATCATCTTATATCGTTGGAACTATGATTTTATGTATTTTAACATCATGTTCAAGTGTGCAGGTATTATACACGTACACATGAAAAAGAGTAGAAAATTGTTAACACGGCTATCTAAAGTCTAAACAGAGGTAGAGATTTTGCATCAATAAAAATAGTGTTATTTCGGTAAGAAGTCAGGTTTCAACTTCTGCTTTTAGGTCCTTCCATGAACCTCTATCCAATTTATCACTAACTATAAACGTCCACATCAAAACAACTTTTCCACCCAAATGACTCGCATACCGTGCACAACGATTAACCAAAACCCGTCCAAACTCCAAAATGACAATCACACCCTCCGTCTTCCATCAAAATTATCGAATCCTGCCATTCCTACTAGTTCAAGCCTTTCCTACTCACAAAAATCAAAGCAAACTATCTTTCTTCTTCAGTGTTAACTCAAAACAGAGCAGCAGATGAAAACATAAATATTTGAAATCACAATCTTCTATTAGATATAAGAAATATAAAAAACCATATCGAAATAAACTAAATTAATATATGGCATACAATCGAAGACTAATCCATCCGAAGCACTCCATGACAGGACCTCTTTGTTTCTCGTAATGATATTTTATTTTACAATCACCATTGAAGTTGTTATCAGCAACATCATAGGTAGAGCCCTGATCTTCAGATTGTCTTTCTATTCGAATTTTCGTCACATTTGACGTGAGCATGGGTGCATGAACATGTGATGTATTCGATAAATTTGTTGCTCAGATCTTGACAATTTTGGCTGCTTTTACCACCGGATTTTCCTTCGCTATGGCCTCTCGTCCGGCAGCCTTGTAGTCGTAACTACAACCGTGCCTGTCGGAGTACCGATGCTCAGCGCAGAAAAGTTCGCCGCAACGGCATCGGAATCCGGTCAACCCTACCTTCCTTCGACAACCGGAGCACCTATTTACCTGCCTCTTCACTACCAAACCATCAGTTAAATCGGGCTTTTTTAGATCGTCAGTCGTCTCCTGTACATCCCTAACCAGAGAAAACCTCAAAGGAGAGCTAGATCTATAAGATTTCTCGCCAAGCAAAAGAGTATCATGCTTAGCTCCGGCTGCTGACGTGGGATCCTCAAAAGAAGCGGCAGCGTCAGCGGAGGAGGATGAAGCTGTTGTCGTTGTGTTGAAACACTTCTGGCATAAATTATTGGTGGCGGAATTCCCTGCAAAACCACACACGACACAAAGAGACATCGTTTCAGGTACAACCTTGAACTCCGTCTCTTCCTTCTCAGTTTTCTGTGCCATTTTCGCTATTAACTAAATTAAAAATTACTTAACACAATCGAATAACAACGTTTGAATGACAGTGTGAACATATAAATAAAGAGAGAGAACTGAGAATTGTATAGAGAGAGATGGGTTTGTAGCTAGTTTCTGAGGGGATTTTGAAGGGGAAAAGGTCGGCAATGGCTCACGGATAATGACCACATAGAGACGCGTATCAGGCAATTGGATCGTGTGAAAAGACGAATGTGCCCTCACATGACTTTTCTGGAATTCAGCTGGTATAGTTGGTGATAAGGGGTGCTTTCCAGATCAGCTATGACGTTTTATTATGGGATTTTTCCTCCACCGACTGAAATATTGGTTAACCTAATGTATTAATATAATATTTATTTTTTCGTATTTTATAAAATAATATCAGTCAAAAAAATAAACATGACATGAAGGCTGAAGCTTAGATTAAAAGACTGTACAAATAGTATGCATCTCCAAGCAAGAATTTTAGATTAATGAACAATAATTTTAGAAATTCACTTTTCATCAAGAAATACTTATTTTTGTTTAGATAAGCCTTAGAGTCGAATCTATTTTGTTGGAATTTGTCTTACTAACTTGAAAAGACGCTAATTAACGGACAGATCACATCTCAAATACGTTTTCATACTTTTTTTACTTAGTTATAGATATTTCTCTTAACGGTCTCACATCTAGTGGCATTGTTAATTAACATTGATCTTTTGTCAATTTAATTTTTATTTTTAAGTTAGTCTATTTAAATTTTTACTTTCTCGAAATTTATTAAGTGAAAAGCTGTGGTAACTTAGCCCTGTATGATAGCCATTATTTGAAAAACAAAATCTATATATTCATTTTCAACCATACATTCACACAATAAAATATTTTTGCATATAAACCAACTTTTTTTTCTATTTTTTAACAACATATTTTCCTAAAATTCACTATTCAAACTATTATTTTTTTTCCAAATAATGAACGTTAAACAAAGGCTTAATCAAATATTCATATGAGCAATTTTAACATTTAAAACTAAAAGTGCGTTCTATTGTTCAAATTTATTGACAAATAAACATTAATGCTCCGTTTGATACACCATATTTTTCATGGAAAATGAATTTTTTTTTTCATTTTTCAACTTTTGTAGTATTTGGTAGGAAAACATTTTCCAGGAAAAATTTTCCCGGGAAAATGTTGGAAACTTTCCAAATTTTCCATATTTTTTAAGAAAACAAATTCTTGATGTTTTGGTTGATAAATATTTCCCAATTTTTTTTATTTTGCAATTGAAAAAATTTCTAGATACAATGATAAAAAAATTTATAATTTTTATTGACAATTTCCATGCAAAGCTAAGCCAAACAAATTGTATTCGATATGGTAATTTTTTTTTCCAATATTTTTCTTTCAATTGGAACAAATTCTAAACCCAATGGTAGAAAAAATTATCACTTTAATGGACAATTTTTATAAAAAGACGAAGTCAAATGGACACCAAACTTTCAACATTTTTCATGAAAATTATACCAATTAATTACAATTTCCAGTAAAACAATTTGTAAGCAAATCGGTTTCCTGTAAAACATTTTTTTCACCAAGTTTTCACATTTGCAATCAAACGGACCTAAAAGGGTTGGAAAACAAAAGGCAGGACAATGACTTGGACATTAAAATTTTATGCTTATTTACTATTCAGTACTAGAAAAGATAAAACTATCGTCTTTTAAGAAAAGCAGTTTCAAAGAAACTTATAACTATGAACTAAACAAGTTGTAATATTCTTCTGAATATTTAATTCCCTACTAAATATGCTATAAAAATAATATTATACGAAAATTCAAATTTTTTTCTTATATTTCAATTACACATTCTCCATCAAATAATTATTCTAAAACGTATTTTTATCATAAAAAATGTCTCATATGATTGGACAGTGAGAAAAAATAAAAACATAGCATTTAATTATTATTTGTCACGTCATTTGTCTCTGCATTTCTATCCTTGAACATGTCCAAAGAGCATTATTCGCCTAATTTTGACCATATTACTATTTCTTATTGTCACGAGATACGTATGTATGTCTTTTATGACTGGATGCAGCGAATATCAAAAAATAAAATGAGCCATATGAAAAATCATACAATTTGATTGTCGGGGGTAAAATGGGAACTTCATGTCATCTGGTAACTGTAAGCTACAGTGATGTAAGGAAGCTTGATCTGACCCTCCGCCTCCAGCCGTTCATTCTGACCGCCTCCTTCTTTTCAACCATTGGGCGGACGATACGCTCTCTGGACGCGATTCACTTTTTTATTGTACCGCGTTGCATGATTTATTTATTGGATTTTGGTGGCGCGTCACATCAGTGCCTGTCTCAATCGTCTTCGGGACTTACTCAGCCACATATTTCGTATTTGATTTCATGTCATGTTATGTTGTTATGTTATGTACACGTGGGACTTTTTTATTGTATGGGTCCACTAATAATTTGTAGACAAGGCGTATTCGGTAGAAATTAAAATAAAATTAAAATTAAAAAATTAATCGTTATTATTAACTTTTATTAGACGAGAAAGATTCAATAACAGCTATATTTTCAATTTTAAACTTAACCAAACATGCTCTTGATCAGATCTCAACGGTCATTTATATGAACTAACCAGATACCTCTGAAAAATGTTTATATACTGTCAAAAAAGAGTTTGATCAATTTTTAAACTGCAACAATTTTTAATGAAATTCACAAGCAATATGTGATTATTCACCACTCGTTTTTATAATATCTATATTATAAATTTCCTAAATATATTTTTAAGTTCAGAAGAATGTAAATACGACAGAGATTGAATTTTAATTTTACTTAATTAAATATATTTTTTATCGACACACTTCATAGAACTCATAAGTCGGAGTTCATAAACAATTAAAAACGAACGGCACATGCAGGGGAATACGCACACTGTGAATATTTCAACTGTACAGGGGAAATATCCCTTAAAAATACTATTAAGTAGGTACGTAATTTTTTCTGCAAAAATTAAGTAAATGGTACTGGCATTTTTCTTCTGAAACAACGAATTGAGGCGTTTGATAAAAGTTACGTATGAAAATCGGATCACCTGGTTGGACACAACCTTGAGCTGGCCATTGGACCGGTTGACACGCACTTACGGACCATTTTATAAAGAAATCAATCAAAACATGTCTGAATTGGTTGATTTCTTATAAATTCAGTACACTTTAAATCGAATATAAGGGCCTGTTTGATAACCTCCATTATTTTCTACGAAAGTTGGAAATTTTTTTCCTTTTTCCATGTTTTGGCTTGTTTGATAACCATTTTTTGCCATGAAAAATATTTTCCTACTAATGTCCACACGTGCATGTGGAATTTTGGTGGGAAAACTGATTTCCACATTTTTTATGTTTTTTTTTTTTTTGACAATTGGAACTAATTTTATAACCAATTGTAAAAAAAATCATTTTAATTGACAAATTTCATGTAAAATAAAGCCAAACGAACACTAAACTTTAATTAAAAAATGATTTTCTTGGAAATATATATACATTTTTACTTTTTGGCAATAGACCAATTGTGGAAAAAAATTATCACTTTAATTTCAAAAAAAATTAGGGTGAAAAATTATACCAATCAAACACACTTAATTAACAATTCCCTGGAAAACAAGTTTTAGACAATTATTTTCTTTGGAATTCATTTTCTTTCCACTCATTTTCCACAATTACAATCAAACGGACCCTAAATTAAATTTTGATTGTCCAAATGTGTTAATCAACTATCGAACATGGAAACACGGATTAACAAATAAGCATTTTCAATGGGCCGACTTAATCGATCATTTCTAATTGTAAACTAAAATCGATGGTGGTGTATTTGTTTGAGGAGTTCTCTAGCAGAAACCCTCCTTTCTTTTCTGAGACTCTGCGTTGTTATTTTAACTTAGCATCTAACTTAGATGCTAAGTTAAAATTTTGAATGTAATGTTGTGTATGTATTTTGTGACAAAGTCAAAAGACATCTAAGGAATAAAGAAAAAGAGTTCAATACTTTTTAAGATTTAACTTATTCAAACACAAGAAAAATTTAAGACATAAAATAAGCCTAGTCGGCAGCCAAATAAAAGAGTCTGTTGACACATAAAACTGGCAGCCCTAATCAAATGGCCCAAGAAAGGAAATGACTCTAAAGAAGAAACCCAGATAGAGAGATCAGGGTAAAAGTCCAACCAGAAATATCATTAAAATAT